ATCCCTCCATCCATCCATCCTCCCATCATCCATCCATCCATCCATCCATCTATCCCTCCATCCATCCATCCATCTGTCCCTCCATCCGTTCATCCACCCCCCCACCCATCCCTCCCTCACTCTGTGCTGGCCCTGGGGATCGTCCTGACCCTGGTCCCTGCCCTTGCCCTTGGCCTGGTTGGCCCTGCTGAGGTTCTCACAGCCCCACTGGGTGCCCCCCTTCCCTCCAGCCCATCAGCTGCACCCTCACCATGGTGGAAAACCCAATCCAGTGTGTCCTGGGGTGTGCAGAGGGCAGGGAAGGGCACAGCCTGGCCTTGGCTCTGCCAAGGAACCTGGGCAACCCCTGGCAAGTGCTTTGGCCACTTTAGCCCAGAGAAAGGACACAGCCATGAACCTGGGGGGGCTTAAACCATGACACACACCCAGCCAGGCACAGCAGGGCTGGGAGCATCTGCTTCCCAGTGGAATTTGGGCTGTTGGACACCTCACCCTGTGCCAGGCTGGATCCAAAGTGTGGAGGAGAGCAGGGAGCAGGGCAGGGTCATGGAGCAGAGGGTATCTTGGGGTGTAGGGCAGGACAATGGGGTACAGGGAGGGATAACAGGGTGCAGGTGGACGATGCCCACTGGGAGGCAGGTGGAGATGCAGCTCATCCATCCTGGTGTGCTCTGCCCACCCCTCCACCCCACCTGCTCCTGGGCAAGCCAGGCCATGGAAATTGGGCACAGGAACTGATGGTGTCTCCTGGCAGGGCTCACCCCGCTGGCAGGGGCACAGGGGTGCCCAGGGCAGCACATGGAGGGCAAATCCACACCCTGGCTCGGGCTCTGCCCCCCCAGTTCCCATCACACCCCAACACCAGCAGCACCCCAAGCCATGGGAGAGGGGGACGAGCCAGCAGCAGGTGATGGGGGAACCCCCTCCTTGTGTCCCCTCATGCCCAGAGGGTGTCCCACAGGGCTCTGCCACCCCTCCCCAAGCTGAGTGTCCCTGTGGGTGCAGCACAAACCCCCCAATATCTGTTTTAGGCCTTTACCAAGGAAACAGGAACTGAGAACAAGAGGCCACGGGGCAAGAGCCTGCCAGCCCAGGGGCATGGGGTGCCCAGGGATGTGGGAATGTGGGATGCCCAGGGACACAGGATGCCCAGGGACACAGGATGCCTAGGGACACAGGATGCCCAGGGATGTGGGGTGTTGGTGCAGAAGCCACTCAGGGTTGCAGACAAGCCGGGTCAGCCGTTATTTATTGAGAACAGTTGTGGAGGGATAAAAATATTTCCACTAACTCTATAAGAATTTATAAACCTATACTCTGCTTATATCCGTTAACAAACGCCTCTAGGACCGTCATGCCAAGGGAGGAGGGGCTTCTGTAAGAAAATAGCGAGATTAAAAAAAGGAAAGCACTAATATACCCTGCGGGGCCCTGCCCGGGGGGGCCCTGCCCACGGGGAACCCCTGGCTGGCACAGGGACACGGGGGGCACGTGCCTGGAGACCCACCCCGAGCCTCGGCCGGGCACAACCCCCACCAGGGGTGAACCCACCTGGGGGACCCCACCTTGGGTGGCCCTGGTGGGGACAGGACGCACCCCCCTGCCAGCGAGCTCCCAGTGATCCCACTGCTCCCAGTTCTGCCTCACCAGCCCCTTTTGTCCTTCCCTGGAGCCAGGAGGGAGCAGGAGCTGAAGGGGTTGGGATCCAGTCCCCAGGGACACCGGGAGGTGTGGGCCAGGCTCCCCCTGGGGACACACAGCGGGGCTTTGTCGGGAAGCAACACAGCTGGTGACATCCTGGGGGGACACAGGGACACAACACAGTGCCCTGCAGGGTGGGAACACGGTGGGGGACATCCTGGGGGGGACACAGGGATGCAGCACAGTGCTCTGGGGGAACACAACACGGATGGGGACGGCCTGGGGGGGACAAGCTGCAGTGCTCCCGAGGGCAGCAACACCGAGGGGGACATCACAGGGGAACACGGGGACA